CAAAGAAGTATTCAGGTATTTGTCTTCAATCTCATTAACTCTGTCTTCCATGGCATTAATTCTACTTCTTTGCCCTTCCAATGGGTTATCTATTTCTGACAAATTAGTTTTAATCTTCTAGATTTCTATCTGTAGATTTAGAATCATTTCTGGTTTTTCATTTATTTTGTCATTTTGTTCTTGTATTTTCTTCCAAAATACTTCTAGAGTTTTTTCTGTTTTCCTTGGTCTCTCAATCCTTTGAAGATACCTAAATATAATTCTTTTGAATTCCTTATCAGGGAGTTCCAGTGCTGTGTCTTCCTCAGGGATGTGTTTTGGGTCTGAATCCTGGTCCCTTGTTTCTCTTGCTTTATCTTCTTTGTGTGGACTGTGATGTCCTGTTTTCTCCAAGGCATTGTGACGTTTTTGTGTTTATATTTAATTGGTGATTATATGTTGGAGTGACTTGCCCACAATTTTTGTTTTCTTTGTATGTTATCTATTAAGGCAGGGTGCTGTGCTGTGCTCCTCTATTCACTAGTTGACAGCCCTTATACACTCACCACCTGTCTCCTTTCCTTTGTCAGCCTCTCATATGTCCCTGCTGACCCTGGCAAACAGAGCCTGTTCTTGTTGTTGTTATGTGCCGTGGAGTCAGCCCTGACTCATAGCGAGCCTGTTCTTAGGTCCCTGAAATCCGAATGAGAATGCTATCACTTTAAAATCCAAAATGGTTGCCACTTGTAAACATTCAAAATGGCTGCACTCTCAGTCACTTTAAATATCCGAAATGGCTGCTGTTTGTAAACATTAAAAATGGCTACGCTCTTGGTCACTTTAAATATCCAAAATAATTGCCATGTGTAAACAATCAAAATGGCTGTGCCCTCCACACAGCAGAAAGTCCACAGCTCGGGTTGTCTCCTTCCTTGCTATTTCCCTTCCTAGTCATAGGCCACCAGAGCAGTTATCTCTGCAGCCCTTGGTGACCAGGACTGATCTTTATGTCAATTCTCAGGTCCCAACACCACTTGGAAATATTCAGACTGTTGGTCCCGTCAGTGTAGCTGACAGTCTGCAGCTCTGACCATCTCTGTACTCACTGTTTTTGTTCAGGTTTTTCCACTAGTTGGTGCCCAATACATTCTGTATAGTTCCTTTCAAAGCTCAGGGTTCAGGATTATCTTCTGTATCTCTGTCAATTGTTTTTTCTTTTCTTTGTTGAAGAGGGTCTGTATCACTTGTCTGCCTATTCCTCCATCTTACCGGAAGTCTCCTGTAATTCAGTTTTTTTTTTTTTAATTTTTATTGTGATTTGAGTAAAAGTTTACAGAGAAAATTCATTTTCCATACAGCAGTTCATACACATTTTCTTTCATGATATTGACTGTAATTCCCCACAATATAACAGCTCTCTTCCTACTTCCTCCCTGTAGTTACCTCTTCTCTGTCCTTCCCTCCCATGCACTCCTGCCCTGCCCCAGCTTTTTCCATATACAAACACTGCTTTTCTGTCCTCCCATGATTGATCTCTCCAAGGAGTGTATCTACGTAATGTAAATATTCTACCCATATGCTTGTCTGTTGTTTGGCTGGAAGCCACAGGAGTGAGTTCAATTCCAGACTGAAAGTGGGTAACTAGGGGCTGTAGTCTCAGGGGTCTCACCAGGCTCTATCAGACCAGTAAACCTGGTATTTTTTTTTTTCCATGTGATTTTGAGTTTTGTTCCACATTGTTCTCCCATTCTATCTAGGGTTTCCTGCACTGATCCCTTTCTGACTGGATGGCAATGGCAGCCAGGACCATCTAATTCTGGTCCATGGTCATGTATGCTGAGGATCACTTGGTCTACTAGTCTCTTGGACTAATTGTTTCCATGTGTCTTTAGTTTTCTTCATTCTTCTTTGCTCTTGACAAGGAGAGACCCATTGTTGCATCTAGATGGCTGCTTGCAAGCTTTTAAGGCCCCAGTCACTACTCACTGAAGTAGGATATAGGACAGTGTTTTTGTGTAGTACGTTATGCCAATTCAGCTTAAAAAAAAATAATGGAGGTATCTCTTTCCAATAAAATATAAAAAGTAGTTGCAGTCTTTAAAAATCTAAATAGAAAATATTTTGATTTTAGCTCTGTATCACTGACTAAGAGTATTTTTGAATTGGATTCCCTTTCATTACAGGTGTGTCCTTTTGTTTTAGTTTCCATTTTGTTTCTAAAAATCTGTTTTATTTTTCCTTTGCAGGATGATCATGTCAAATCCCTCCTCTTTACCTTGATTTCTTGTAGAAGTTCAGTGACTGCTGATCAAGTTTTGAATGCTGAATATTTCTTGCTACCAAAGGTGAAATCAGTTCCAAACCCAGAAAAAAATACTGGATATACCAAATATATAGAGGAAGAAGAATTAGAGATGGAAAACTTGAATAAATATAAGGAAAAGACAAACGGAGAAACTAACTGTGATTGATAGAACACTTTCTATAACTTTCTTGCATATGTTCCTTTTAAAAACTTTACTTACTTTTGTTAAATAGAAAAAAAATCTAGACATATTCTGGAACCAGTTGGTTGTATCTTTGGTATTCAGGTTGTGAAAAATAAAAGATGTTTGACTATGCAAAAAAAAAAAATTGTTTTTATGCTTTGACATTTAGTTTAACTTGGAGGTATTAAGGAAGGATTTTCTTTAGTTACTTTTGGGAAAGAGTAATTAAACTGTGATACTTGTAACAGAAAAGCTTATTAGATTGCTAGGCAAGTCCTGTACAGATTATCAGTATGTTGGTTAGCTGGTGATGAAGGGTGATACTTTTGTTCAACAAATGTTTGCTTGCCATCTGCCTCTGGGAATATAAAGATAAATATAGAACATGATTATCACAGTCACTGAGCTACAAAAAAATCAAACTAAAAAGGGGGGATTTAACATGATCATTTCTGTAAGGAAAGCACAAGCCAGATTTTTAGAAACAAAATCAACTCTAAAACAAAAGGACACACCTGTAATAAAGAGGAAGCCAGTTCTTCTACCCTACCACTCAAATGCTAGATTTGAGGACATTACAGGAGGAGAATGGTTGGAAGTTTATTATAATAAAGTAGATAAGAGATGATGAAAACAAGATCTAGGGAGGAAAAATAGAGCTGAGGCATATGAGACAGATGTAAGAAATAATTAGGAGGCAAAATCAATTAGATTTGATGATTGAAGTACATATAGTGTATAGCAAATCTAGTTGCCCATTCAATGTCCAATCTTCTTATCTTTCTTAGTAACAGATTGCCAGTTTTATTCAGGATGGCATTGGTACTCAGTTGTTGTCAGATACCATTGAGTTGGTTCTGACTCACAGCAACACTGTGTACAACAGAATGAAACGCTACCTGGTACTACACCATCCTCACAGTCATTGCCATGTTTGAATCCATCATCACAGCCACTGGGTCAGTCCATCTCATTGCAGGTCTTCTCCCTTTTCACTGCCCCTCTACCAAGCACGATCTCTTTCTCCAGAGTCTGGTCTCTTCTGACAACATGACCAAAGTACAAGAGACAGAGTCTGGCCATTCTCACTTCTAAGGAGCATTCCAGCTGAGCTTCCTCTAAGACATATTTGTTTGTTCTTCTAGCAGTCCATAGTACATTCAGTATTCTTCACTGATGCCACAGCTCAAATACATCAGTTCTTCTGTGGTCATCTTTATTCATTGTCCAGCTCTCAAATGCATATGAGGCTATTGAAAATACCATGGCTTGGGTCAAGTGCACCGTACTCTTCAAAGTGACATCTTTAATACTTGATTTATTTTTGAGAAGTAGGATTTTGCCTGTTTGTTATTAGAAGAAGGGCATTCCAGAGCATGGAAATTAAGAAAGCTCAAGGGCTGAGGTTGGGAGTTTGGGAAAGGGTGATAAATTGACTGGAATATAGGATACTCATGGGGAAATGAGAAATAATTCTGGAAAAGTATTTTGGGGACATATCATAAAGGTCTTAAATTGCTCTATGAGAGCAATCATTAGATACTTATGAACAGCTGAATGACAGTCATACTTGTTTTAGAATAAAACAGCTAAACAGAAGATGATTTGGATGACCAAAGACTAGAGGTAAGAGAAAAGTTGAGGATGGTACATTTTAACTAACATAATTGAGGCAGAGACACTGTCCTGTTGTAAATCAGAGTATTGAAAAGGGCAGAATTAAGGGTATCAACTTTTTTCTCTGTGGAAATTTATGGAAGCCTCTGCTCCATTTCAAAGGATAAATCCTAAGTCACTCAGCTTGTATTTAAATATCAACATTTGTTAAATTTCTCCTTAGAATCTCTCTCTCAACAAATAATGTGTTTAACCCCTTCTCAGTTGTTGGTATAGTCATATGTTCTGCTACTAAAACTACATGCAGAAGTACTTCCAGAATGGTGGAGTAAGGACCTCTGAAAGTTCAATTCTCCATAAAAGCAAAGAGAACGTTTGCAAAATTTATCAAAATCAATATGTAGATTTTCTCAGGGACAGTTTCTATTGACTGCCTTTTTCCCATTTGGGCCCATACTTTTTTCTTTCCATGTCTCATAATTTTTTGTTCAAAACTGGACATTTTAAATAATATGATATGGCAATTTTGGAAATCCTCAGGATTTGCTATTGTTTGTTTAGTGACTTCCTTGGACTAATTAAGTCTCTAATCATTGTCATATGCAGTTTAACATTTCCTTAAATGCCTTGAACCAGTCAGTATTTTCAATCTTAATAAGTATGGTTAAAGGATACAACCCTGATACACACCTTTCCTGATTTTAAACCACATTGTATTCCTGTGCTCTGTTTGAACAGTTGCCTCTTGGTCTATGTACAGGTTCCACAAGAGCACAATGATGTGTTCTAAAATCCCATTTGATCTATCCCTAGAGCATCTGTTGAAAACAATTAAGGCAGTTGTTTAATGTCATAACTACCTAAAGTGGTGATAGCAGTTGGGGCAAAGAACTTACTAGGAAAATCTAGGCAGTGAGATGTCTGTGGAGGCATTGAAAAACTCAGTAATTTCCAGGGATCTAGAAGGCTTTGCATATGTGCAGTACTGTGCCCATACCCAGGAAAGACATGAGAATGTCTTAATGCCTCACCTCTGTCTGACCTTGCAGCCTTAAAGCAGGAAGTGAATGCTAAAGCAGCATTGTAAATGCCAATGTTAACAGTGTTCCCCAACATACATAGGTTCACAGCAAAGATTCTGTAGCGATACCACCTCAGAAACTCAAGGCAGGGTTGCTATGAGTCGGATCTGACTTGACGTCAGTGTTTGGTTTTGGTTGTTGGTATGTCATTCAGTATTTTGCCCTTAGACTTCTTTAATATTGCAACTCAAGGATTGAATTTTTCCTTCAGTTCTTTAAGCTAAAGAGTTGCTAAGTATGTTCTTCCCTTTTGAATTTCTGACTCCAGATCTTTGCACATCTCATTATAGTTCTTCAGTTTGTCTTCTTCAGCTCTTTGAAATCTTCTCTTCAGCTCTTTTACTTCATCATTTCTTCCTTTTGCTTTATCTATTCTATGTTGAAGAGCAAATTTTAGATTCTCCTCTGACACCCATTTTGGTCTTTTCTCTCTTTTATTTTTATTGTGGTGAAAACATATAACAAGACATTTGGCAACATAACAACTTCCCCATTTACAGCTCAGGGACATTGATGACATTTTTCATATTGTGCCACCGTTATTGCTATCCTTTTCCAAAACATTCCACCACCATTAGCATAAACTCAATGCCCTGCAAAAAAAACAAAAAACAAAAAAACCTTCCCCTTTCCCCCTCACACTGTGATAGTTAAGGTTTCATGTCAACTTGGCTGGGCCCAGTTGAGTGGCTGGGAAGTTGGTGTAGTTATTCCCCATGATGAGACTGGCGGCAGTCAACTCCATGGTGGGATCTACCACAAGCAGCTGAGTAGCTGCTTTAGGTATGTGGTCTGCTTCCTGTATGTAATAAGCAGCTTTGGGAATGAATGGTCTCTAGCTTATGATGTGCTTGAACCGTGCGTGTAGCCTGCTATGCTCTGCTGGCCTTGGGGTGGACTTGAATCAATGGCCTGCTGTGTTGTTTGGTAACACTGGGACTGTGCCTTTTTACTTGTCGACCTTGGGTTTGTCAGCCTTAGCAGCCAGTAGCAGTCTAAGTGAAGAAAAGCCTAGCTTCAGTGGGTTGGAAGCAAGAGGCAGAGCTGAAGCCCAAGGTTGAGGGGCTTTCACCCAGTGCCTAGAGCCTGGCACTTTGAACTTGAACTTCTAGCCTCCAAAAGTATAAGAGAATAAACTCCTGTTTTTTCCAGTCCAGCCATTTTTGTCAGAGTGGCACTAGGTAACCAAAACACCCACCTGCCCCTGGTAACCACTAATAATCTTTGGTATATATACCAAACCAAATTCAGTGCCGTTGAATCAGATCCGACTCATTGCGACCCCTCCTTGGGTTTCTGACGCAGTATCACTATGGAAGTAGATTGCCTTGTCTTTCTTCTGAAGAGTGGCTGGTGGGTTAGAACCTCCAGCCTTCTGGTTAGCAGTCAAATGGCTTAGGCACTATGCTACCAGAGCTCCCTTGGTTTATATATATATCTTTTTTTTTTGTCTTCTTCAACCTATCTAGGAATTTAGTCTCCCCTCTCCATCCCTCTCATCCTTGGTAATCAAAGTTTCCTTCCATGAATAAACTTTTCCTTGACTTTTTACAATAGTGGACTAATAAACTATTTGTCCTTCTCTGGTTGACTTACTTCACTCAGCATAATCTCCTCCAAGTTCATCCATGTTTGCGGTGTTGTGCAGATTCTGTATTACTCTTTAATGTTGCATAGTGTTCCATTGTGTGTATGTACCACAGCTTGTTTATCCATTCCTCAGTTGACGGGCACTTAGGTTGTTTCCATCACTTTGCTACTGTGAATAGTGCTGCAGTGAACATGAATGTGCATATATCTGTTCATGTCCTGCCTCTCACTTCTTTAGGATATGTACCTAGTAATGGGATTGCTAGATCAAATGGTATTTCTATTTCCAACTTTTTAAAGAATTGCCATATTGATTTCCATAGTTGCTGTATCATTTTACAGTCTTACCAGCAGTGTATGAGAATCTCAGTCTCTCCACATCCTCAACAGCATTTGTTATTTTCTGTTTTGTTGTACTTTGCTATTGATGCTGGGGTGAGATGGTATCTCATGGTTGTTTTGATTTGCATACCTCTAATGGCTAATGAGTGCAAATATTTCTTGATTTGTTTGTTGGCTGCCTGAATATTCTCTTTGGTGAAGTGTCTATTCATGTCTTCTGCCCATCTTTTAATTGGATTGTTTGTCTTCTTGATGTTGCGGTGTTGGAGTTTTCTGTAAATTTTAGAGATACGTCCTTTGTTTGATACGTCATCGCCAAATATTTTTTCCCATTCTGTAGGTTCTCTTTTT